GTCCAGAACTGTCGGTAACAGCACAGCGAGTCACACCGCGGGCACGGGACCCCACCCCACACACAGAGATAAACCCCAAACACACGGGGCGGGCCAGGAACTGTACACAGGAAGGGAAACAATTCACAAAAAAATGGCTCCTTAATGTCACATTTAAAAATAAAGTTTAAAAAAATAAAAAAGACTAAATTCAAACAGCTTCTGCTGTACACCAGGAATGGGCTGGGGCTGCTCCGCACACCGAGGGGCACCCTCGCCGCCCCCAAAACCCGGTACACAACCATCAGCCACCGCTCCTGCTCACCCCCGCTCAGCACAGAGTCTACAGGCAACAGTCCCACCTTTCCCCTGTCCTCTACCTCAGCATTTCCCAAGGTGAGAGCTCCACAACCACGTCTGCTCATAAATACCGGGGGGTTTCGGGGGCAGCAACCCACCCAGGGAGGGATCTCTTGCTACAGAATGAAATCTGGGTGTTGTGGAAGGAGAAATCAGCGACCTGCCTTAGGCCAGCGAGTAACAACAGGTTTTTACTCCCCCCTGTCCCACACGGGCAGCGTTCGGGAGCTTGATATGGTGAGTACAACCCAGAATCCACCAGTAAGGGACAAACAGTGACAAAAAAAAAAAAAAAGCCTTTCCCCTGTGCGTGTGATTTGGGTCCCCTCTAACCACGATTCATCGGTGGAAGCGAGCCGGCAGGTTTGGCCCCCAGCAAGGAGACTGCACAAATATCAGTACCTGGGAGCTGCCTTGAAGATTTTCAACCCCATAATTAAGAATATACTTCTATACAAACCGACACTACAGCTGTTTGAGTCCACAGGGCTATATTTTAGACAGGGACAGAAGTGCTAGATGAAATGTTCTGGTTTCATACCACACTCATGCACTCACACACACTTCAAAATTACCTTTTCTTTAAACCAAACTGATTTAAAAAAAAAAAAAGTACTACAAATTTCTTTCAACTAAATAATAACGTGTTTTAACAGAAGTCACCATCCAACTCGAACACGATTCCTCTACAACATCATGGGATTGGAGAGGTCCCTCTCACCTGTCACATTTCTTCCCTCCCCACCCACCCGCGGTGAGTTTCTCACTTAGAGACATTCACTCCGCTCCTCTCTCCGTTCTTTTTCACACAATGGATACTGTGGATCTTTTCAGAACGAGACTGATTCTATTCACATGGATTTTGAAGTGTCAGATTCTGGATGACAACGTTTACATTTTATTACAGAATTATCTGAACTTCATAAGGGCTTTTGCAACCCTCTGCAGCGACACAGACGGGTACTGAGCTCGCCAGACACTACCTGAAGTGCCGGGAACTCTGTTCCTACCCAGATGAGTTCCTCCAGCAGCTGGAATGACACAGGCAAGGCAGGAGAATCCCAAATTGAAACTCAGGCAAAAGGACTTGATTAGACCCACCAGGTAAACAATAAATAAGCTTATTAAGGTCAACAAGAATGAACACTAAGGAGCTAACAGGAGTGTAAGTAACAAGGTGCAGATGAAGCAGAGTCCCCCTCACCCACATCATCTAAACACGTGCTGTCATTTAGGAAACAACTTGTCAACCCTTCCAGCAGCAGGAGGGGAATGGAGAACTGCACAACAGGTCCCAGCCATCTACCTCTTCCATACATCCCCAGGAGCATCAGCACCACCATGGCCAGAATAAGCTCTCCAAGAGAAGGTTTTGTGATGACAAGGAGGAATAAAACCCAAAACACCTCCTGAATTACATTCTGTGGAAGGCAGCCTTCACTGAGAGGCGAGGGTCATGGAGAGGAAGGGGTACCCCAGGTTTTGCCACACCAAAGCTCTTCTCTTGGCTGATCGCAGATATTTCTCAGATAGTTTTAGAGCTCTCAATCAGACACGAGAAGTTAAAAAGGCTTTCTCAAGTTCAAGGCAACAGCAGAGTTTCTTACAACCATTTCTTTCCTTCCCTGCAACATAAAATGGTTACCTGCAGGGAAGAGGTTGTGTTGGCAACAACACAAACAGGTTATTTTTGGAAGAGTATTCAGCTGGGCTTCTGTACTTTCGAGACCTCTAGATGTTTAGGTCCGTGTGAAAAGGAGGAGGATGTTTCAAGACTGGGACTGGTAGATTTCTAGTCACAAAAAAAAAGCAAATTTGGTCATTAGCGGTGGCAGGAGGCCCCATTTTAAAATGTGAAGAGATAATGATGCTCAGTGACAAAAGGGCCTGGAGCCTTTGCCAGTGTCGTACCTTTAAAAGGGGGGGTCTGTGCCCTTACAGTGACAAAGGCCACCTGAGGCAAGCACGCAGAAATTTATTTAATATCTGACTTTTGCTTCCAAGGGCCTCCAGCTACATCCCTGTAACACCATCCCACAGCACTCACACTGAAACCCAGCTCCCAGGTGAGTCTGCTGACAGTCACAAACACCACCAACCGCAGACTAACACCACTGCCCACCACAGATTCCTAACCCAGAGCTCCAGGCACCCTTACCTTAACCTCCTCCAAATTAAAAAGCAAAAAAATCCCCACCAGAAAGCCTTATCTCTGAAAGCAAAGGAAGTCACCTTCAGAGTTAATCAGGGCTTACATTCAGAACTATGGCTACAAACCTACAATTTTCACTGCAATGTCTTTTGGAATTTAGTGGAAGATGCTATTTCTAGACAATAAACCATCTAATTAGGCTTTTTGAGCTAATCAGGTTACAAAATCCTTTTGAAAAAGTCCCAACAGTTTAAAAAAAGCCGTCCAATAGCAATTTAATTATGCCTGATAGACATTTGGAGAAGCGGGACTCGTGCCAAGGAAGCAAGGAAGATGCCACTTCCCCTGCCGGCAGCTCTGCGAACACGCCCATCTCGACAGCAGTGTAATTTCAGCACTCTGTCAAGTGAAACAATACTCTTTTATAATTGCCAAACTAACGTTTGTGGTATTAGCCACCTGCGCTACCTCATGAGACGCGATCAACCGTTCCTCTTCTGCTCCACTTCACAGCGACGGAGGGTCAGTTAATCTGCGTTAGCACCAGGGAAGAGGGGTGAGAGGAAGAATTCAGGCTTAATTTCTGTTCTACTTAACGGCAATCCTACCACCCACTAATTCTCCACCAAACCATCACTGCTCAGACATTCTTACTGTTTGCCTTGTGTTCATAATACTTGGGATATAAAACCAGAAAGGTTTGTGAAGGACTCACTAGCACAGTAAGTCTAAAACCGGATCGCTAATAGTTTGCTGCCCATCCTCAGAGCGGGATGAAGGTACGTTTGCAAAAAGCTTCGGTTGCAGTAAAAGCTCACAGTATTTTGCATACGCCATTCTGTACATGCAGCATCATCAGAATCAGCTGGTCCACACTCCTAAGTGTCTCAAAAACCACCTCCACTGTTCTTCAAGAGAACAACGTGGACAACTGGAAATGTCAGCCTAGCAGTGCACTAAGTGGGGAAAATAAAGTTACGGTTCAAGCATCAGTCTAGGTTGGACAGTTTCAGGCACATGATTTTTACCGCAGCACACGCAGGTGAACACATCTAAAAGACAAATAACGTCTATCCTACTGTACACATGGACTCTCGTGTGGTCACTTCTAGATTTCACCAACACACTCAACATTTCAGCCAAAGCACATCGAGCTCCACGACTCCTTGTACTTGAATAAAGATGATGGTAAGGAGAGGCCACGATGACTAGTGCTGCTTTTCTAGAACACCTTCTTTGGGCTCTTGGGTTCTGAAAGGGTAACTACATACAGTGTGAGTGCACACACTGATGGCATCAATGTGAAAGCTCCTTCCCTTCAAGATCCAGATGTTTCTGCCTTTTGTACAACACTATCGTCCTCCCATCCACTCCTGCTTGGCTTTCTAGACCAGCATTCGTGTCCTACATCCCAGGAAACGCTATCCCTATCAACTGTCATTATGGAAATGAAAAACTCTTCAGTGCTACCATTCAAACCATTAAGACCCAGACAGGCCAGTAACAAACCACTGCACTAGCCCACAAGTAACCCTTTTCCAGACAGAGCGTGTTGAGCATTCAGCCGCTTCCTGCGTCACTGACAGAGCTCTGTATTGCCAATACCATCTGTAGACAGTTAATTCAGAAGGGTAACAGCTTAGCAGCAGCGAGGTACAAAGAAAAGGAGTGTTAGAATTTGACTGCATCATTGCTAATAAAAAAGGTGACTGAGTAACTGATCATGGCACTTAATGCCCGCTGACAGCAGCGCTGTACACTGCTGACAGGCTCTACGTGCCTCGCCTCTATGCCGTGTCTTTAATCTACTGCAACATGAGTTGTACAGCTCACATGAGTATTTGATCCTGGTCAGTATTTTATTCTGTCTTCTGAGTGGCAGAGGAAAAAAGGGAGGACACATTTTCAGCCAAAAAAATCCACAGTAACAAAAGCAAGAGATTCACTAGAAGATGACACCAGTGACTGGTGTCCTTAGGTTGTCCAAGACTATGGTCTGAAGATGCTTTACATAAGATGAACAAGATGTCCAAAACAAGGCCAACTGTGGTGTAAGACGCAATTTACCCTTTAATTTCCCACCTCAATTTCACCCAGCCACAGAGGATGACTAGATTTCAGTATGAACCATTACCTAAATCATATAGTTGGTATGTCTTTCTTTAAAAATTTACTTAAAAACTGCTTGAGCTGCAGGTCATATCAGTCTGATTCGGAGAGTGAAGGCAGTTCCAACAGTACAATAGAGACTTGTCTACAGGCAGGTAAACGAGAGTCTGCTAACAAAGGGGTAACAAAAGCTGCTGGCTGGGCTGCCAATGTTGCACACAAACTTTCATAGGATGAAGATGCTGCGGATGAGATCCAGGATGGGAAAACTGAGCCAACACCTGCTGCTCTTCTAATTTTTTTTTTTTTTTTTTTTTTTTTTTTAATTCTCCTCTCACAAGAAGGGGTGGGTAGACTATACAGAGGAGGGCTGTACAAAACCGGGCACTAGGCAGGCATTTCTTCAGCAGGCAATCCAGGCTCTACCTGTCCTTGAGCTCTCTTGTCACCCGCTTGGTGATGCGTCCACACATCAGGCCGATGAGGAAGAGTACACAGATGCCAACCGTGATCACAGACAGTATGTAATTCTTGGACGGAGAGGTCATAACTTGCATGGCAAGGTCAGAAAAGCCTTCTGCTGGGGCAACCTGGAAGTGAGAAGGGAATAAATGAGACAAGCTTTGCTTTCCATGCAACCCTCAGCCTTGATATTTATCAGATTTAGTCTCTGGTACCACTACTGCTTCCTGCCATCATCAGTCTTGGTCTGAATCACAAACAAGCAGGCTTGCAATGATTTATCTGAAGGAACTGTTGCTCAGCAGACAGAGTTTTAACAAGAGGGTCTGCTGACCCTATCTCATTGCCCCAGACTTTCTCTAGAGGACACCAAGCCTTGCGTGCACAAAAGACAGCTTAATCCTGTGGTGTGGAGGATGCATCCCACACACTGAGAGAATAAGATATACAAGTTCAAAAAAGGAGACTCGATTTCCATTTTTCTGGACCCAACTCAAAATGCTAAACTTCAAAGACAAGAATTTAATTGCAGTTAATTTTTTTTTCCATAAATAGCTTGCAAAATAACGATCCAAAGTGAAGAAGAAAGGAGTTTACTGAAATCCTTTATATAGTCACCTTTGCAGCATAGCTCCACATTTCAATACGATCATTAAGGCGTTTCTTGCATTCAGGCTGTAACCTCACACGCTTATCTTCCAGAGCTTCCATTAAGCATGACATTTCTGTAATGCAGAGAAGATGCTGTTACAAAAGAGAAACAGTGGCTTCAACAACATGCTACGGAAAGGGACACTTCAGTTCTACTTAAGGCTGACGGGTACACAGCTTTCTAAACAGGTACTCAGCCTGACAGACTGTACACGAAGCTCTGTTGTACCCCTGAAGCTAGTAATTCCTCTAAGATTCATGATTAATATGGCACTTTGAGGAGTAAGGAATTCCAAAAAGAAATTACAGTACTTATCCAAGATGTAATTAATGTGATTTTAAAAAGTCTTCTAAATTTCCCCCTTCAGTGAGCTGTACTCTAAATTCCGTGCCTCTACCCTTTAGAGAGAATGAAAATCTAATTCAGCTCAGGAAAAAACACAGTGTATCTCCTTAGGCTTGTTAGGAGTTTCTTTTGATCAACAAAGTGTTTTGGAAAGGTTTAACTTCCCAACTTTTTGCAGTCCTGTGCAAAGGAAATGGGATCATAACATTCTGGGTGCCTACAGAGCACCTTGGCTAATTCGTAAGCTCTTTTAAATGCTCATAGGAGACACTGACATAAAATTTTGTATTTTATACTGCCTTACTTGAATAATCCTTAATTGGATGCTTTCTGCTTTGCAGTGAATAGTTATTTTGTTCACAGCAAACTTTAAACTAACTCCAGACTTTGTAAACACAATTGTCAGTTCAAACACTCAGAGGCAGATCTGTCTCTAAGCTACAGACGTGTGCATACCTTCAGAGCAAACACGCCAGAACACACATCAAAAGAATTATGACAAAACAGGAATAAATAAAGGATATCCAGAATTTCAGACAGGCATTCCATAACCAGCACGAAGGACAAGGAACAGGAAAATACTTGGCTGCTATTTTTAATGCCAGATAATGTCAGAAAGATGGGAAAGTTCAGAACTTTTTTCCCCACTAGCTTTCCTCCAACAGCGATATCCAGCTAGCTAATATAACAGCAGTAACAAAGTGCGAGAGCTTGACCTCCAACAGGAAAAGAATGGGTTAGGAAATACTTAAATAAATGATGTTTCAAGTGGTCTGAACTTGATGAACTCAGTCTCAGGGGACTTGGAACAGCTCAAAGTCTCCAAGCTTTTAGTTGCTATGTGAACTTGGAAAATGTAGTGAAGATTACCTACCTTCTGTAATACTGAAAAAGAAAAACCTGGTATATTTAAGCAGAGAAGAAAAGAGGATCAAAGGACTTCAGTTTAATTTTGTCTGTCAAAAATACTGAAAACAAAGCAGCCAACTATGGACAAAGACTGACATAAAGAAAGATTAGCTAAGAATGAATCTTGTGAAGCCAAATTGACTTGCTTCTGTAAGAGCAGCAGCTTAGTTCCAGGGAAGCTTTTGATGCAGTCTGATAGAACACTGTCATAAGTAAGCTTGGGAGCTGTACCCTGTGTGAAGCTGAAACAAGGGTGGGAGATAAACCTCTCTGAAAAATGAGTCCACGTACTTCAGTCCATGTGTATTAAGAGCTCGTTTTCAACAGGATTTAACTGAGGAGGGGAGGGGTTACACATCTGGTATCACAGACTACTGTCAGCAATCATATGAGTGATGAAATATAAAATATATTCATTAAATCTGCAGATAAGGCTGCAAGAATGAATAGACAAGGCTGCAAGTGATGGAATATAAAATATACTCATTAAATCTGCAGATAAGGCTGCAAGAATACTTTATCAGGATTGAAGAACTGGTTCCACCTTGGACACAAGGAAGGACTTTTTGATAGCCATCTTCTAGTGGCATCCACTACCTCTGCAGCCATTCTCCTTCATTACCCACACAGGACTGGGGAAAGATCTGGTAGTTAAGATAAGCTGCATTCTCTAACCAGCATTAAGGCTCCCAGGACCAAGAGGTTATAGAGTAAAGCAGGAGCACTTACGGCGTCCTCTCCCTGGTGGAATGGCAGCACAGTGGTGTTTGATGTCTAGGGCACAGGCTGTGTGGAGCACTGGGTCAACAAATATATCTGCTTTGCTTTCTTTCAGCATGTTGAGCACTTCCTGGGAAGGGGGAAATTACAAGTACATCTTAAAAAAAAAAGACAGAACGTAAAACTCACACTGCTCAATGCTTCTGAAAAGTGTAGTATCTTTTTAAATCCAGGATTATGAGAAAAAACCACCACTGTTCCTGGATGAGGCTACGAATGCTGGTTTAGGCTGGATTAAATGTCCTGGTTTATAAGGGATACTGTAGCTGTGGTCATTAAAATACCCGTATTAATCTAAAATACAAAGTCAATATGCCAGCATTACTTCAGTTAGAACTAAAATAAGGTGTCACAGTCACAGGGGCAACTCATACAGCCCCTGATCACAGCCAGTGCCTAGGCCATACCCAGCCCTCAGGAAGCCTGCAATGGAGAAAGCAACAGAAAAGAGATTAGTAACAAGAAACTTGGGCAACCATAATCAAGAAAGGACTGAAGCCTGCATTTGCAAAGGAGGCATTGTCAGCACAATCTTCACTGGCAAATTGAAACTGAATTGAATCGTTGCAGGCCAGAACTGAGATGTGTAAGGAAACCTGCAGAGCTCTGGTTTCATATTAGCTAGGACACAGCCTGGGCTGTGATCTGGAAAAGCGACCAACTTCTGCAGGGACAGGATGCCTTCCAGTGCACCTTCAGGGCACCTTCATTTCCTTTACCTTCTTGCACATTTCAGTTTTTATTTTCAGCAGATTCACTTTCAGACATTCTTCCACCTGCCCAGTCTGCTCCTGAGCTGCTGCTTCTTCTGCACACAAGCTGGAAATCTATTTTGAAAAAGGCATTTTAACGTAAGTAGTTCACAACAATGATTCTGGCTTTTAGCACATTTATCTCTCGATACATTAGTTCATCACAGGGCGTAGCTGGAGAACACTTAATGAGATACTTCCCCCCCCCCGAATCCTCAGAGCCAAATGCAGCCTGGCTCATGCAATATGAATCTCCTTCAAAACCCAACAGCAAGAATTCAGTATCACTGTACTGAGAGGAAAACAGGGAGGAAAATGGCATAGAAATAATGTTAAGATGTGAAATAAGTAATATGTGAGACATGGCTGATTTGGCTATCAAAAGTGAAAGCTCAAAATCTGACTGTATTCCAGATAAAGTTGACAAAACCAGAGAACTAGCACACATTTTTTTTTTATCAGGAAAGCAGTATTTTTCCAGTCACAAGTACTGATGACATCCCAGGTGAAAAAATTAACTTTATATTGGCACTGCATAGGAAACTGCAGTTCCTGCACAATGAGCAAAACTCACAAGCAGAGAACAGCTAGAAGCACTTCAAAGGGAGCTTTTGTTTCTTTTAATTATCAGGGTAGTTCATGCTTTAAGAAACAGAATCTGTTTCATGAAAGGAGTTTTCATTCTGAAAAAGCAGCTGCTGAGCTACTTCTCCTACCTCTTCAGAACAGTGCATCTGTAGTTGGGGATCCAGCCGATAATCAAGAGCCGATTCCTGGATTATCACTCGAATTTGGTCCTCGCAGTCTGGAGAGAGACGCTATTAAGCGGAGAAAGTCATTAACCCACTCAACGACCTTTATTTTCATAAACCAATCACCTTGTATTTTCACCTGTGTATTCTGTAACACTTGTACAGGAGCATAAAAACTCATTTATGTACAGCCTGTCACACACCACAAGCCCAAGTTTGCTTTGTTATTCAACAACTGTTGCTCAGCCCAATCCTGCAGAATTTCTTATTTGCATGCACCAGCTCTACTCACCTGGTCTGCATATTTCAACTTCAGGCATGAGATGACTTGTCCTTCCAGCTCTGTATCATCCTTGGCCCTATTCAGGATATTTTGGCAGAATTTTGGTATGTCTGCTTTGCACGCCTTCCTAAGCACTGGATTTAAGCGGTAATCTAACCGGGAAAGATGACAGAACTTCAGTAGAGTACACATCTCTTCAGACTACAGAACATAACACTCCAAAAAATATTTGATAGACATTTCCTGGATGAGGCTGTACCACCAATAAATTTAATTTTGGGGAAAAATAATGTTTTTTCACAACAGAATTTAAGAGCTTCAGCAATTAAGTGGATCCAATAACATATGCTGAGCCTCCAGAACTCGACTGAATGAAGTCAGTGTGTGCACTGACAACCATGAAGGAGAATAAAACAAAGCAAATATTCATTTGGCCATGCAGACCACTCAACAGCTCAGGCAGGTAAGTTTATTTTATTTCAGAAGAGGATACCTGTGTTCTGTGTAATCTGGCGCTTGGTGATCATTTGCTTGCATTTAGGATCCATCACTTCACTGTTCTTGTTTTGTTTCAAACACTGCAACATATTTTTTGAGTCTGCCTCTGGACAAAACCGCTACAAAAAAAAAAATATAAAAATGAGAAAACCCCAGGTTTCATCACTAAGCACTTGAAAAAAAATTCCACAACTATATTAAGGGAAAAGAACAACCCCCTGCCCAACTCACAGGTATATAGACACACTCCCTACCCTGAACAACTCTTATTAAAACCAACAGTGCTACTCTTTAAATTGACTATGGGCATGAATATCTCTGCTTAGGGACTGAGCACTAAGCTGTACAGTCTCGACTGGCTTCTAGGCACCAGCTTATGTTATCAAAATAAATTTGCCTTTATTTTCTATTCTTAAGTCACAGCACACTTTGCAAGAAATATCAACCAAATTAGGTCTCGTACCACACTACTTTCACTCCCCTTTATTTTAGAAACTAAAAAGGGAATCTTTTAAGCCTATACACATACTGCTGTTCTGCAGAAATGCCAGCTGGACAAAGCAACAGGTAAAGACTTCATTAGTAACACTCAAGACAAAGTAAGACCATAGAGAACAAGAAAGCGGAGAACAGCTCACTGATATTAATTTGTCTATTCTTGCCTTGAATTAGATAGTTAAAAGTGAACCAGTTTATCCAAAACTCAGAGCAAGGTACTAATTTCTTTGGTTAGAAACTAATTCTGTGGGTGTAAGGTAAGACTGTCTCATTTTCTATTCCTCACCATTCTGGTGAGATTACAGGTTTTGTTTTGGTTTTTTTTGTTTGTTTTGTTTTTTTTAAAAAAGCATGAATCTGTACTGAAGAGCAATAAATTCTCAAGATGTTCTGGTTGAGCCACAGCGTGTACTCAGGGTACTGCATCCAGACTACACATACTAATGTTTCAGGGCTTGAAATTCTGGCTACTGCACAAGAATGACTTGTATTAACGTTTATTGCTGCTTTCCACGTGGTACCACTTTAAGCCAGCTTTTCTATTTTAAGTTTTGCATGATTTTACCTGCTTTATCAATTTGATGAAAGTCTGTGTGCACCAGGTCAGCAGTGAACTGAAGATGTTACTCCTCTCTGTAATCATAACTTCTTCACCTTTTCTTGAAAGTCAACCCAAATCCAAACTGATTGGATGAAAACTATTAGAAGCCTGAGCACAGACTTTCTCCTCAATTCTGCTGGCAGCTGAGAAGAAATTCAGCAGTGCACAGGCTTTGATCAGATATTTGGAGGAAGTAAATTTGAAGAGAAGAGCCCTGAAGAAACCTCAGCTTGATTCAGAGTTAAGAAACTGACTACTCTGCAAAAAGCAATCACACTTCTGAAACAACATGGGAATCTTATACCAAGCCTTTATGGGAAGCTCAAAACTGATAGAGCTCTTATAAGCCAAGCTCACCCTCTTGAATCAGCACACTACCATTACCTTGATCATCTGCTTGCAGACTCTCATGAGTGTGTAATCCAGTTCTGGATCCATCATCTCTGTCTCCTGTAGTTTAAACACCTTCTGGTGGCACCGGGTACTCAGCTGCTTCTTGATTTCTTTCAAGCATTCAATAATCTACAACACAGTATTAAACCATAGCATTATGGATATGATTGTCATATGCTGCTCAAAATGCACAGCTATGGGTTCCTCTAATGGCTGTCTTTACCTGATTTATGCTGTTAAATTCCCAATATCTAGATTTTTATAAAAAAAAGTTATTATCAATGCTGATTTCCAGGACTTGCTTTAAGCTCAGTCACCTGGACCTACCCAAAAGACTAAACCTCATCTTGCAGATGTTACATCTAAGCAAACTTCAGCAACATTTGTGGTAACCAGCTACTAATAGCTTAAAACCAGCATTAACTGAGGAGTGAACTGCTCACAGCATTGCATTCACCCAATATTAATACTTGTGAACCAGGAGAAAAAAATACTATGCTCCCAAATACTAACAAAATATTTCAGTGGTATCAAAATGAAAATCTAACACTGCACTTACAGGGGCAAAAGTGTTCTTCAAAAGTTTTCTGAAACGAAAGTACAAATTAAATTGTAAATTATTAATACAATCCATTACCTGAGCATTGCCATAGGGTACGTTTTGGCAGTAATTCTTGATGTCACTTTTACAAGCCTCATACAGTTCTGGTTCAAGTCTGATATCCTCAGTCTGAAGGAAAAATTACAATATGAACTTTTAAGTAGGACTCTCAAGACTATTTTACTGTGTTAATCTATTAACTAGATCCTTCTACTCAAACAGCAGCAACTCTAACAACAGGCACGTCAGTTTCTTTGAATTTAAGGGTCTTGGGCATGAGAAGCAGTGTCAGTGGGAAATTAACTCTGCAAACCCATGCAGCACATCACTTGGCTTTTTACACTGAAGAAAGGGTTTAAACTTAATTTTAGAGCTGGAAAGTTGTTTCCACTGCTCCTCCTAAAAGGGCATCCACACAAATGTCCAAGATAGCTAAAATCTTTTCATAAAGAACATATTAATAGTCACTCATCTATTGCATGACCTGGAGCATGTGAATGTAGTTTCCTGATCTAGAGATGCCCAGCATTTGAATTCTTCTATACAAAGTCAAAACTGCCATATCTTCTGCTACAAACCTACTTAAGGTGAAGCTTTAACAGTCAAGGTTTTTGTCCAGTAGATATTAAGAGTTCAATGCTGCAAGAAATGCAGCAGGAAGCTGAGAGGTGGCCTTGCCTACCACAACAAATACTACTCTTCTTTATCCACTGAGCAACTTAGAGCAGCTGGAGTTGAGTTGCTTCATCTGTGCTTGTTTCCTCAGTCTGTAAAACAAAGCTTTTATTCTCCCCTAGAAAACTTTAAGGCCATCAGCATGTGTAGCACATTGCTATCTAACACTAAACCTAATCACTTTTAGCTGAAATTCTAATGACCATGTAGCTTGCCTGAGCCTTTATGAGACTATATTTAAGGCTTTAAAGTAGACAACCATTATTTTCACTGTGATGGGCAATTGAGCCTCGTGTTGTGAAAAGAGTGGAAAAAATAAATTAGATACATCTTACAAATGAGCTTCCTTTTTTTCCAGGAAGCTTTAATTCAAAGACCTTGCTAGAAGAACAGGTAGATTAAGAGTTTCATGCATGTTTACCATCTCTAGCTCCTCAACGCGCAGCTGTTTGCGGCACTTCAGAGAGACCCTGTGCTCCTTGGCATCCTGCAAAGTATCATTGCGCACAGTTGTGCTCAGACAGATCACCACATCCACCCTGCAGAAAAGAAAACAACTTTTTACTCATATACCCTTCACTTAGACCAGCCAAGACTGGTGTTGGATCACCACATCAGAGAAACTGACCCCAAGAATTCAAACACAACATCTTGTGCATCTGTGCTTACTTGTAGCCTGGGTACGGCTCTATGTAGAGTAACTGCATCCCAATTAAAACCTAACTCTTATGCTGTCTAATTGGAGTCTAAATCAGCAGACAGGAAGATACTAACAATCCCACCACACCCCTGCCCAGCAAGATCTCTGCTCTTAAATCAGATGAGCACTTTAGAAAAACCTTTACTTAATCTCAGGAACAGATGAAGGTGAGTATCTCCATGGCACTGCAAACAATCATTTTGCATTATGGGAAGGGCATTTATATAATAAAATGCAAACAGTCTTGCCATCCATGAACAGGATTGACCTTGTGTGTAATTTAGCCTTACATCATTGCAATAAGCCATTAAAAAACCCCTTATACTGAAATGAATAAACCAGCTAAAACAAGGGGGATATTTTCCCTTCCCTGATCAGCAAGTAGAACAATGGTAGCCTCCGTCTTAGAAGATGATGAATCTAGAAAGGATATAAAACATCCTGAGACATACAAGTCCACTGACTGCAATCATTAGCTATTTTCAGATCAAGAAAAATTAAGAGAAGTAATTTTAAAGAGGCAGGCAATGCCTCTCTACCTTAAGTACCTGCAGAACATAGTCACTAAGGGAAAACACAAAACAGCCTTTAAATGAAGTCCAGCATTTTCTGTCCTATCATGAAATATCCTGTAACTATTACATATTTACACCATTAGATTGCTGTTTGATCAGGTGTTACATACTTTTTTTTGATGTTGGGGCAAAGTTTCAGCACATCCTCCTTGCAAGCCATTTTAAACTTGTATGAGAATCTAAAATCTTTCATTTGAACCTGCAAGAAAGAAATGAGGAGAGGGGGGAACAAAAGAAAAAGAACTTTGGTCACCTAGAGGAAAAAAAAATGAGAAGTACTGCCCAAGAGAACACTTGTTGAATCACACAATCAGCAAATGCTTTTGTCAACAAATTAATAACGTGGAAGCAAGGGGAACACTGCACTGCTGAAGAAGCTGGGACCTTATCTACCATATGCCAGGAAGGAAGGAGAACCTGAAAATAAATAATCTCCAGAAGTGACCATTTATGACCAGGCATGCAAGTACAACTGTCTGAATTCACAAGAGCACTTTAAATACTGGGAAATCAATCTTAAAGAAGGACAGGTTTCATAATTAGCTAATTCCTGTCAACATCCTCAACAAACAGAACAGGCTTCCACCAACAGTGGAGAAAAGCTCTGCTTACCAGTTGGAAGTGAGTAACTCCAATTGCACATTTTTCATTCATTTCCTTCTGGTGTTTGTTCTGTATTAGACACTCCATCAGGTCCCCAGAATCAATCTGGTTATCTGCAACCTCCTGAAGAAGAGATCAAAGGCTTAAAAATGAGTTACTCTTACAAGTCATTATTTTTACGCTCCTTTAGCCCACTGTAACTAGGAAATAATGGAATTTACAGTCCCACTCTATTGTGAGCTTACACTCACTGTTAACAGATCATATGAGAGCTGTACCATGCAAGTATTTACAGACACAATCCAGAAAGGAATCATCTCGAGCACATGCACACTTTAGACTCAGGAGAACGTACTGCAGAGATTCAATGCTTACATGAAGTACCACAGTTAGGTGCCTTCACTGCTACGTAACTACTCAATCCTAGAACAATGTAAGAAGTTATTACAGCAATGCTGTATTATTAATTATTATTATTAATGCAATGCAATAACTGCAGAGTGGAGTGACTAGACAATGCTTGTGGGCAAGGGGAAAGGAAAGAAGTTTATTTTTTATCTCACTGGAGAATGATTTTTCCAATTACAGGGCAATTTTCATCTCCAAACTCTAGCTTTTATGCTAAGGCTCTGAGAAACAGCAGAAGTATTAGATGGAACAAAGAATTTTTGGTTTAGGGTGTTTTTTTTAATTAGAGACTTTTGTAACTGCTTACCTCTGATTTCACTTTTGAAGTGTAGCAAGTACACTAAGAATTAATACTAAAACCTTTTCCCCCCCACAGTGTTTCTTCCCCCCAGAGATATTCACACTATTAGGGAGTACTCACATGACAGAACGTCTGGATAATGGGCTCACATGCTCTCATCAGCAAGGCTTCAATTTGAATGTCCTGCAGAAAACAGGAAATATTACATTATCACAGTGAATGGACAGGAAAAAAAGTCTCTGGGAAAAAAAAAACCTGTGATAACCGTGATTAACTTGTGATAAAAAGTTAAATTCAACCCAGTTTACAAGGTTTTGAAAGATGCAATCCAGAGCTTTGCCCTTCAGTTCTGGAAATCCTAGGGTTTACTCTTGCCAGTAACGTGGGAAATGCAAGGCAAGCCTTAGCTTGAAGGGAAGAGCCTGGTCTCCACAGAAAATCAGTCCTTGGATATTTCAGCCAACCTCCTCTGAACTGAATGCTACAGCACTAGAAGTCACCTTATGCCTAGACAGGAGTTAAAGATTAATGATAGAATCACAGAATAGTTTGGTTAGAAAAGACCATTAGATCACTTAGTCCAACAATAAACCCAGCATTGCCAAGTTCACCACTAA